AAATAGTTTTACAATGCATCGCCAACCTTCTAAAGCTCAAGAGATTTTTTCGATCATAATTTTTCTGGATGATGTAATCCTTTCAACAAATTAACTATACAGTAAAAAAATCATATAACAGTCAATCAAACAATAGTAATTAAATTAATAGACATCATTTGGTAGTATGTAGTTCATATCAAATAAGCGCAATACTACTGGTCCATGACTTAAAATACAATTATATCCAGTTCTGCTTAAGGAAGGCTCTTAAGTATTGTTGAAATTGTAATTTTTATGTCGTAACTTTCCTTTTTTTAGATAACAATTTCGTCTGAAAATGAGACGTTTTACATTGTACCACAAGGTACAGGTAGAAGTTTTTATTACTATGATCAATATTCCTTTTTATTACTTTTATCTATGCATTAATAAATCTTTGCTGAAGTTAGCAGGTCTATAATGAAAGTAATGACATTGATAATTTGATTAAATATTTTGTTTTTATTAAATTTTGATTAGATATTTCTTTCGTTTATCTGTCTTTAACTAAATCGATTATTGCTTAAGTAGTTGATCGACTTTTGGTAGTTTTTTGTGTCAATGGAGCAATCTTTATGAACGAACTTTGAATTACTGTTGTCACTTTTAAGCTGGCTCAGCACATGTCGAACAACATAAAAAAAAAACGAAATGATGAGCTTTTTGTGCATTCTCAATGAACCGAAGAATCACTTAAAATTAACTTCAATAGTCAAAATAGTTACAGCTGAATTAAGTTTTCATTAGTAAGGAACTATTAAAAGTAATTAATAAAGTCATGATCATTTTAAATTCCTTTAATATATAGATTTGTACTTGCTGTAATGTTATTTTTGACTGATTTCGTTTTTACTTATCATTGAAAATTGAAAGTGATTAGTTGTTAATTTTCATTATTTTCTCTGGTGATCCTGCTTAAGTTTTTCATCAAAAATATTTTCTTGTAAACATGCTTTTTGATTATAAAATTAATGTTGGACATTAAATCAATATGGTACTATTCAAATAAGTTCAAACTCTCTGATTATGCAACAGAAAAGCATTAACTTTAAATATTATTAATATTTATTTACATATTTATTTTTCCTTATTATTATTATGATTATTGTTATTATAATTTTTATTTTGATCTTTTGTCATAACGCTGGCGTAAAACATTACGTTTTCAGAGAAATAGAAAAATGATATAGAGTGATTAAAGTACATCTTCATATTATAAAACTGTATTTCACTTTCGAATTTAATAAATTTGTTGAGTATGTAGAGCAGCTGCTTAGTTTTGAAACATTGTTATCGAAAAAAGTGATCGGAATTCACAAATAGAACAAAGTACAAGTGGAGCATAATTTTATCACATGTACCCCTAAACTCATTTTATATGTCAGAGCAAGCTTTGTAATCGAAATTCGCCCTAGCTAGAATTTATGTTGGAGCTGTATATCTGAGGACATTACTAGCTTTAATCGTTTCTTGATCACTAGGGGAGAGTGGGGTCAATTGTAACATTTTTTACTTAACTATTTTTAACTAACAAAAAATCCAATATATTATTAGTATTAATTGACCGACGAGTAAAGTAAACTATCCTCTACTAGAAAAAAAAATTAATACCTTATTTTAAATGTTATTATATTAGTTATTAACAATTTTTGACAGTCGTGCA